TAAAGAAGATGTTTCTCTGGTAAACTTCTAACATCCTAATTTCCCCCTTTTTAATCTTCCCATAAATCTTCTTAGAATGTACACAAAAAAGAAAGATTTTATCAAACTGGCAATATCACTTGTGTTTGATCTATTCTTCTTTGTTGGGGGGCTTTTTCTAATACATGAAGTGAAAAAATGTTCTTCATTGTTTGTGGATAATTGTTTACATATTTCCGTGTCATCTGGCCTACATATTTGGTGTTCATGTTGAACAACCAAACTCCACTAGAATTTTGAAAGTGTGTCAAGCACTCGGGAGCTACAGTATTTAAAATATGGATTCAAGTTCAAGTCTGTGTCATAAACTGTTAAGTCAGTTGGATAAACATCAAGAATATATGTACCATCCCACCGCATCATTGAAAATGGAGGTTTTCCCAACATAAACAATGGTTAGATTATTTGGGGGGAGGGAGTAGAGGGATACGTCATGAATCACAGGTCCTGAAACTGAACCAAGATGATATGGCATGCACTGTAAACATTCAGCAACCAAAGTGCTTCGGTGGTTTGCTTGTCCTCCACTCTTTGTGGCTGTGGAAAAACCAGCATAGCAGATTTAAACAACACTTTGAGTGTCCACACCTATAATATAGGTTAAGTCTACACAATTCTGCTGCAAAACAAATGACGTTTTATGACTGTGAATGTCTCGTGTGTCCAGGTGATGCTGAACGCCGCTCCGTCCTTCTTGAATATCTTCTATCGTCTGGTGGCATCCATCATGCAGGAGGGACGGCAGCGAGGGGACAGTGACACAGGTAACGTGCAACCACTCTAACCAAAGGACTTGTTATATTACCATACATAATGTGGAGGTAAATACTGGCTTTGGGAAAAAGGACTCCACTTTCTGTGCAAATACCTGTTTCATTTACCTACTTTGAAAAGTATAGGAGTTGAGTTTTCTCTTACGGCCCGTCCACACAGCAGCTTTAAAAAAATCTTGAAAATCTTGGAGCTGGGCGTGCCTGAAAGCTTGGGGATTTTTTGCGAGCAACGCGACCAACAACCAATCACATAAATCTCCCGCCCCGACATACAAAGCAATAGCAATGTTAAAACGAAGTAAACTGGATATAAACTCCGCAAACAGGCGAAAACCTACCAGTTTCACCCACTGTCTCTGCCACCTCCCTCCATGCCTGGTTCCTCCAGTTTGTATCCTGGTAAATAGTTCTGGTCGTAAAGAACCGAGTGATTTGCTACCGTAATTTCTCGTTTGGAATATGAGGAAATGAACTGCGGTCTGGCTCTCCCAGCTTGCACGCGGTTTGATTGGCTACTATGGCTAGCGCTTGTACTGTCAGATTTGCATAAACGGGATTTGATTGGCTGACGCTTCCAGCTCAGCTTCAAAAGTTGAACATTGCTCAACTTTTGAATCCTGAAAATCCTGAAAATCCTGGAAATTTTCGCTTTGCTTCCCCACAATGCAGTTCGGCGAAAAGCGAGGCAAAGTGACATCACCCCTATTCAAAGTCAATGGGCAGAGAAGCGTTGGAAGATTTTTTTAAAGCTGCTGTGTAGACGTACCGTTAGAGAGAGTAATAAGAGAAGTTTATAACAGTCCTGAAACCCTGATGTTCCACACATGCAAAAATAATTGTTAAAGACGACATAATCTGCTCATTTTCAGGTTCATATTTGTATTTTGTGCCTCTATTGTGACATGCTTTAATGTAACATAAGTAAACAAAAGAGTCCAATGGATGTGTTCCAGGCGGGGAGTGTGTGGGAGAGAAACTCCCTCTGTATGGAATTTGGGGATTTTAGCCTTTTCAGACCATTTACATGCATTAAAACCTATGTAACACACTACAGGAAAGGGAAACCCCTCACCCTACTTGCGACCAAAACCATAACTCCTTAGCACAACTGAGACATACTATGATACTGAAGACTCATACCACACACAATCATACGAGCACGCAACGCACGCACGCACGCACGGCACGCACGCAGCACGCCACGCAACGCAAACGGCACGCACGCACGCGCGTCGCGCACACACACACAAACACACACAACACACACACACCATGGAAGACGTCGAGACACTGCATGAACTCGGTGGTACTCCTGGCTGTCACACCACTTCGGAGAGCCGACATCGTCGTTACACTCTCATTGTAGGAGGAGAGATAATTAGACCTCGTGACCTCTATGTGCAGTGCAGACCTTGAATTCTTTTTGTTGTTTCTTAGTTCAAATTTAATATTATTCCCTCAAATGTACCCTCTATTTTTTTTCAGGAGACTCTAGTAGGGTTTCATATGTGACGCGTTATACAAACCTGAATAACGACTCTTCACCCTTTAACCGTGTGAAGATGACATGGAAAACTCGAATTTAACTAGATGGCAATTTGTTACCAACGATTATGTTGACAAAATTTTTGTGTAATTCCTACTTTACAAAACAGTAAAGAATTGTTAACTTAAAGCGTTACAACCAATCTCGTCGTGTCCTTAGTTTGTTGTCTTTTGAGAGAGGATGAACCATTTTCTCGTGTGACTAACCGACCCAGTGGTTAGTAAGTACGTAACCCTCCACCTCTAAATACGTTGTCTACCAGACGTCGAATGTTACGCCTAATATATTTTTCACATAGTTGAAACAGAAAAGACCTCCGATGACTAGCAACTCCACCTTCCCTTTAGTTTTGACGGTTCACAAACCACAGTACTGTTTATGGTCTAGGCATTGCCTTTCTCGATCCTTTCATAATAAAGACAGAAACGAATATTACATAATTTACACCGGGATATNTAAGGCTTTATGAAATCCTTCACAGTAGACATTTGAACATATACAATAGCTGATCACCACTTTCATTGAATTTTGGATGATTTAGTCAACTTTGTAACACCCATGGTGTTCCCGGTCAAAAATGACCGCCATAAAGAAAAGGAATTAGTAATCATCCGGATCAGATAAAACACATACACACACACACACACACACACACACACACACACACACACACACACACACACACACACACACACTAACAATTTGACACATTTCCCGCTCTTATGTGCCCATCACCCCACATGGATCACACCTGGCACACGCAATACATGTTCAGTGTCTGTTCTTTGTATATTTACTGCAGTTCTTCATGGATACCAGTAGTCTGATACATTATTTACAGTTTGAAAGGGTGTTAAATGAAATGTGGTGATGATTAATGGTCTTTGTGTTTCTGTAATAGCAGTTAAAACAGGACCGGTCAAATTTGACCGCGAACACCAAAGTAAGGGGGGGGGAAACGAAGACGATAGGAGGGTTAATACTTGAAACCTATTCAGGATTGTATTGATACAACTGGAAAAACTGAAAATGTGACTGAAAGATATATTGTACTGTATTATCGTTTGAAACAAAAAAAAATAAAGCTCTACAAAAAACAATGCCACAAGAACAAATAAATGCTTGAGTTCAGACACCTAAATACATATATGTATATATTTTATTTATAAAATAATAAAACCTATAATTGGTGTTGTCTCCTCCCCCTCAGCTGCACAGAGTGTTGCTGCCCCCCCCTGGAGACCTCAGCACCCGACAGTCTCTGGCTTTCTTCGTGCAGCCGGACGACGAGGCGCTGATCTGCTGCTGCGACGGATCCAACAAATACCCTCCAGTGACGGGAGGAGGATACATCGCCGAGCGCTTCAAAGCCTCATACGGACAAAACTAAACCTCTGCACATCACTGAAGTCCTACACAAACCTAGGAAGTCTTTTATCATGTTTTATCAGCATACAAATGTTTTTACATTCTGGATATAATTGTATTTTCATTGAAGTAAAGAGACACAAACTCAAAACGTGCAACCTCATTCATTTTATTGTCCACATTCAAACCTTGTACTACAGTTTCATGAATCCTTCACACATGGCGTCGGACAGATTTAACAGCTTTCTGTAAAAGGCATAATAACTCAATTGCTTCATCATAATTACTCTGAGTTGTTATTCTATCGCTGACCTTTACTAAACTCAGTTTTCACCCTGTAACGAGCTCTGTATGCTTTAATATTTCCCATCTATTAGGACAAAATGTAACCTGTAACGAAAGTGTAGAGAATAAATTAAAACATTCTATCAGGAGAAAGATTCACGGACACAACTCAGTGTAAACAGACAGCCACTTTAGAATCCATACAACTCTTAACACCAACAAAAAATAATCTTCAATTAAAAGATTTAAATATATGTAACTTCATCTGTAAACTAAAGACACTTCAATCATCCGGTTCGTAGGATATATGGTATGGTAAAATTAAAACTTTAAGAAGGATTTTTTAGCTTCGTGTGCAACATTTTCACAGGAGGATTGTGGGTAATTGTAGCAGTCTGGAGTCCTCTTACGGCTTATATAAAAAAATAAAAGGTAAATAAGAAAATCAACAGTGATCCGACTAACTGAGAGCCTACGGTTTAAACCAAAGTTCCTATCCATGATCACATTTTGAAGCAGAAAACAAATATGGAAATTAAGGAAAGTATTTAAAGAAATAACGATATTTCCCGATTCCAAAAATGAAAAAAAAAGAGTATAAACTCTTTCGGCAGCAGCGCTACATAAACTTTGAAGTTACGTTTTTGACATTCATTTTTTAAGCATCAATCTGCTCTCTTTTATGGGATAAATAAATCATTTCCCAAATATTTCCTCCAAGAGACAGAATCAGTGACAATGAATTACAGTGTGCACAAAACAAAACATTCACTTTCGGCTCAAGCACCCCGCCCCCTTTCAGCCCAAAGCACTTCCCATGGAGAACAGACTCATGCTGTGATTAAAATGACAAAAACAAGAGGGTGGATTGTCCCCAGGGAAATCTGGACCAGCTCCACACTTCAGATGTATGCAGCTACAGCAGGCAGAGTGGACAGTGGCACCAAATCTGAAGCCTAGAAATCAGATCCTCTTATGTGCGCTTATTATTTAGACATATTTCCGTCAAGTGGTGTAAAAAAAAAAAAAGACAAAAGGAACATTTGAACGAAAATGGGGAATAATAACAAGGCGAACACACACTCACACACTCACACACATACACGCTCACTGGCAGCACACAGAGCCTGCTAAGAGTGTCCTGGCACTGGGACATCGGGGGGAAGAGGGCGAGAGTTTCCTGGAACAACTGGAGCTCCACCTGCAGCACCGGCTCCACCTGCAGCTACAGCGCCCGGATCTGCAACAGAGTCACATAATCACACGTTAATGAACAGCGAGATAATGATGAAACTTAAAAAAGTTAAAAGTTCTCATTTTAGCTGATGACAGTTTTGTTATCACGCAGAGTTGTGATTGATTGATTGATTTTTCTTTATTTTTTGTGTCATGCGCACAAAAGGCCAACCCTCATTTCCTGTGTCTGTCGTGGCATCACAGAATAACAAGATAGCTAACCAATCGGCCCTAATCATTACATTAGGATACTTACGTTTCACATTACCTTTTATCCTTTCCATTTCTTCTACTGCCTGAGAAGAGAAAACCGAGAAAGAGAATGTTAGACAATCACAAAATAGGTAAGGTTTGCTCACTTTAGCAAAGGAACCAATCAGTACAATAACTGCACATTGAGTTACAGTTTGAAGCGTCCTTATATCGCTTGATTTATGATAAGAAATGGGGCGAAGCCTGCGAGCTAGTTCAGGCAGTCAACTCGAGCACCTCGAACACGTGACGCACCTCGTCCCTCTTACAACCAACCAAACACATTCTCCTAAACATGCCGCTCTATTGAAGCTGCCAGGTCTTCCTGCCTCTGCCTCGCTATGCTGCTGCTGCTGCTGTGTTCACTGCTATTGCTACGTTCATGTTCCTGCTGCTGTGTTTCATGTTGCTGCTGCTCGCCTGCCCCACCACCAACAGCAGCAGGAACATGAACGTAGCAATAGCAGTGAACACAGCAGCAGCAGCAGCATAGCGAGGNCCCATTAAAATAATGGTTCCTGGTAATGTATTAGCGACCCCCACAGAGGTATGATTTCACTGCGTCCGTGGAAGCTCAGACCCCTCCTCAGCTCCCGTTGGCTCCCACATAACTCGAACCCTGCATGTCTATAACCCACTGGTTTCCAAACGTTTTCACTGAGGGCAACATACAGAGACATAGGAAGGGCTGGGCCACTCAGTAGAGGTGAGGTATATTGCCTCATAAGTTAAGTGAGCAAAATCAATCAAATGTGGGTAAATCATGCTTGATACTTGAATATGCATTAATAAAGAAAACAGCCTATCACAGCTCTCCATAGGGTTTCATTTATTTTGCTTCAAAAAGTGTTAGCAGCTCATTCCTTAAAACAGAAATATAAAGGGTATATTTCTGGTTTGTTATGCAATTAAGTTATTGGGCTTCTTTTGATCAACTTGTTAGAAAGTGTTTTCAAATGAAATGTCTTACACATTACACCTTTAACATAAACACGATAACATGAATGTATTATTGAACAGATCTGACAGGCTGCATGCAGTAGGCTGAACACACAAAGTCACTGTGAGACAGCAGAGCACAAAGCCAGCGGTGGAAGAAGTACTTTGAGAAATACCACAGTGTACAACTACACTGATAGATGGGAAAGTCCTGTATTTAAATTCCTACTTAAGTAAATGAACTAAAGTAGCATCATTAACATATACATTACCAGAAGTTAAAGTACTCATTATGCAGAGTAGTATTATTTTATTGGATTATTACTATTTATGCATTTAATAATACAGCCACTATGGGTGAAGCTTTTTTTCATGACTTCATATTGGCAGCTTTATCTATACAAATAAAGTATAATGTATGAATTAATTTGATTTCAATGTAACTAATGAGTGGTACAAAGCTGTAAACACTAAAATACTCAAGTAAAGAACACATACCTACATTTTTCACTGAAGTACAGTATTTGAGTAAATGTATTTAGTTACATTTCAACATTGGCAAAGACGATATTAATGTTTAAACATTAGTTTGTTACAGTGTTGTTAACATATCCTGTAACTAGCATGAAACAATATAACTATGTTATAACTATTCTACAGTTTTGAAAGGAATGATAAATCAGTAATTTCTTTAAATCTTTTCAGAATTTCAATCAGGATAATAAATTGTACATTTTTATTTTAAGGATGACTACTCACCACCCATTGTGGAGTGTTCTGTGTAGAGGCTCTGAGTATGTCATAAAGGCACCGGGAACACACACTTTAGCCAGCTTCTTCTCTACACCCCTCCCATCACACACTCTCACACACTTATTTTCCTGTTCACACACACACACACACACACACACACACACACACACACACACACACACACACACACACACACACACACACACACACACAGATTTAGCTAAATATTTCTAAAAGGAAGATATCATTTCACAGGACGAAGATCACAAATTTCAAAATGTAAGTTGAAGTTTGTGTTTAAGGTTTTATATTCTGTAGATTTAGCCCACTCCAAAGGCATTTTATATATTAAAATATTATTTGGTTAAATGAATAAATGTTGTCAAGGCCTAGCTATTGTTTTGTTAGGTGTTTTGCAGTTAAATCTCACAATTTTCAATAATCATAGTTTGGTTATTCCTCCAACACGATACTTCCCCGTAAACAAACCGGAGCTCAGTCATCTGATTCATGTCAGTCATGAGATGTGCTGTCACTGTGTGTGCCAAATCACAAGAGAAACCATACGTTCATGACAGCTTCATGAATTCATTATAAACACTGGCTGTATATATAAAAGATATACAGTATTTTAAAAAGGTATCTTGTTTATTCAAATTGTGCTAGGTTCCCTGCTTTTCCACACCCTGTTTAATCAGTCCAGGTAAACAGGGCTTTATTCTTGTCTAGATTGTAAATAAATGTATTCAAAAAGACACATAGATAAATACTTGCATACATATTGTAAAAAACAAGTTAGTTGTTAGTTAAGATAAAATTACCTTTACTATATTGATCCCAATTTGGGAATTTCTTTTGTAACAACATGTAAACAAAGCATTGTACTTGAGTATAAAATAAAGAAAATAGAAAATAATTTTAACAGTAAAAATATACATATGGACAGTTAATATTTTCATCTAAGTTTACTTTTTGTAAAATGTTATTATTTTTCTCCATCCGTCATATTCTTAACTCATATTTTTCACAAGTCTTATTCTTGTATTGTTCCCTGCCTAGGAGTTGAATGCAGCAACATTTCAATATACCTACTGAAATGTATGTAACGGACAAATTATTAAAACTCTTGGAAGAAAACTCGTAACAGGTTAAATACTTTTCCTCTGTCTATTATCACTAAGTGAAATATGAAAAATACCACATGATGCATCTCTGAGTGACCCTGCTGAGAGGAAGTTCCCCGGTTCATGACATGCATCTGTCGACACATGAGGCAAGCATCACATTTCCTGCCACCACTTCTCATGTGTTTCAACTTCCAGTGTCACAAGTACTGCAATTTAGTCATAAGTGGAATAAACATGTTGAGAACGTATGGGCAGGACAAATGATTGGGTTTCCAAACAATAACACTGTTTCTAGTAACTTCTACTAGATAGAAAGTTCCCTACTTCCCTATCCCATGTGATGGTGACACAGCAGCACACAAGCTAATGCGTATCTCAACAACTCAATACATGTGGTTCAAATGTTCTTTAGTTTGATGTAGTTTAAGTGTTGAGAGATTAGTTTTGGTGTGAGGTATAGGCATACAATTACCTAGATACCCTAAGTTGTTTCATGAAAAGTTTGTCCATCTTATCTTAACGTACAATAAATACGATAGCCTTAATTAGCAAGTGCTTCCTCCATGCTAAGCAGCTAATAGCTTTATCTGAGAAATATGTAAGGAAACCACTATTTAGACAGTGTCAGGGATATATCATTCCGTATTTAAATGGAGATAATCATTTATATGGTTATAGGAAAGCCTTCAAATGTATTTGGGAGACTTTCATTGACTTTATAGTAAATACTGAGATGTGTGAAGCATGACAGGAGGTGGTGAGAGGGAGTGTGAGGGATTGATGGCTGGCTATAAGCAGGTAGAAAAAGTGACTTTTTGCTCAATGTATGTATTTGTTTTAGATATTTTTTGCTCAATATCCTTCCTCACAAGAGTATTACATATAATGTACTGTATTGTAGGTAATGTCTTGTCAGATATTGTTGGTCTTCAACCTGAAAAAAAAACAGTCATAAGAAAAAAGTGAAATGGGGTAACATCGACACCAGGAGTCCTTAACGTTGATGTGCTTGGTGCAACAAAGGATATGAGGAAACAGGGTTTGGTATAGGCAATGACTTGCTTCAAAATGAAACACAAAGGCTTTTGGTTTGCACAAGTACAAATCTTAAACTTAATGTTTGATTAATTGTGTGATTTTTGCCACAACCTGATAAAAAAAAAGAGGCACACATCAGGTACCACTGAGATACACATACATGTTCGTCCATCTCAGATCCCAATTCAAAGTATTGGTCTTCACATATAGAGCTGTCCATGGCCCAGCCCCAGCCTACATTAATGACCTGATCCACCCTCACATCGCAACCCGGGCCCTGAGGTCCTCTGAGCAAGACCTCCTAAGGGTGCCCCGAACCAGGCTAAAGCCCCAGGGTGACCGTGCCTTTGAGGCGGTGGCCCCAAGGCTTTGGAACAAACTCTCCCAGGAAATAAAAGCCTCTGCCTCAATAGATTCTTAAGAGGCAGTTAAAGACCCACCTTTTCCGACAGGCCTTTGGGGCGCCGGAGGAGGTGAGTTAGTAGCTGTCTTTCATTGGTGTTTTATCCTATGTATTACCTGCTGTTATTTTATGCCTTTTATAGTTGTAATGTGAATTGTGTCCTGTACAGCACTTTGTACATCCGTGTTGAGAAGGGAGCTATATAAATAAAGTTTTACTTATAAATGCAGTTTATTTTAATAGGCACTAGATGGTGCCATAGTCAAAACATCACATGGAATTGAATGGTAGGCTTATTTTAAAATGTGTTAGCGATAGCATGGAGGTCTAAAAGATGGTGAGGTGTGTAGAGCTCACTCAGAGGGCTATATACTGTGTGTGTGGGTGGGGCACAAGTTAATACTTGTGGCTAAATGTACCTGCGGATTAAGTTTGAAAAAAAAAAAAAAGATCCCCCCCAAAAATGTACTCTTGCAGTCACAATGTGTTTGTTAGCCATGTTTCATTAGGGGCAGTATAATCAACTCGACATGCATTTCACAGACTACATGTGGTGGCTGAATTATAATAAAATGTATTCCGAAACATATTTAAATGATCCCACTTTGATTACGGTACAATTAAATGGCAAAAAAAAAATGTATCTATGAAAAACTGTTTAATATCGGTCTACCTACTTATCATTAAAAATTCTAAACCAACACCTTTCCTTTGAGAGTCACTTCAGATACAGTTCTGTTGAGAGGGAGGAGACCCTTTTCAAGAAGTTTGCTCGTGCATTCAGTCCATTTTCACCAACTTAAGGCCTTTTCCACCAAAAAGCAGAAATGGGGTTTCCTGATTTAAATGACAGCCAAGTTTGCCCCGACATAAATTAGGAGAAGAAAGTGCATCAAGTGTTCAA